TCAATAATGGAGCACTTGCTCTCTAGGCCAGAGATTTCAGCTTCAACCTATTGGTTTTCCAGTTAGGGCTGGAGCAAACCTCCACTGAAATCCTACCAGCAGAAAAAAGTTTAATGATTTATGGAGGCAAGTAGATTCCATCATGCTAATGTGCGGCATCCCATTAGAAACATATGTGTAGTAATGTGTAATTCTAAGTCAACAATTTGCATTCGTATTCTTCTGTAAGCAAGAAATACTGTGGGGAAATTGGCATCTCAGAACCCGACTGGCACTTGATCCCTGTTTCTCTGTCTTATAAATAGAGGTACAGGACTATACCCTCTATTTTCTGAGCAGAAAATAGGATATGGTTCACTTGCTACAAATAAGCAATAATTGGATCACACGGGTGAGAGCTGGTGGCATTCTAGTGAATTGGTAAAAGCCTTGATTTGTGTTTTCAAGGAGTAGCTGCAGTTCAGTAATGAACCCTCTCTTAACTGATAAAATGTTCCCAGTTCAATCCGAGCTATCTTCAGAACTCTTTAGATCTCAGCTTCTATGTCTCAATGTGCTGGCAGATGCAGTCGGGTATTTTCCAGTATTGGGCCAGTATTACTCAACCTTGGCAAATTTAAGATTTGTGGACTTCAATTCCCAGAATTCCCCAGCCAACAGAGTTAAAGAGGCCATATATTTTAAAGTTGTTCAGGTCAAGAAACATTGGCTTGGACTCTTAATTCCACCATTCCTGCCTATGGCTAATAGAAACCGGAGTTTCAAGTAGAATCTTTGTTAGAGGAGGCTCACAGTACTCCAAAATGTATAGGAAAAGGTTATCTATGTCAGGTGTAAAGAAAAGAACATAAGTACAACTACCACACAAATCTCTGAAAAGCAATCCATTACAGAGGCAAAGTGTAAAGATTGCTCTTGTGATATGGAAAGTATCTCTGCCTATATATGTCCATGTGTTCTCACCAAACATGCCAATAGCAATAGCACTTAGACTTCCATATTGTTTCATAGTGCTTTGTAAACTCTCTCTGAGTGGTTTACAGAGTCAGTATATTGCCTCCAACAATCTGGACCCTCATTTTACTGACCTCGGAAGGATGGAAGGCTGAATTAGCCTGCAATACTGCATACTAACCACTGTGCTAACACAGCTCTTAAATTGGGGGGAGGAGTTTTACGGTATGGTTTATATATATGTGTGTGTGTGTGTGTGTGTGTGTGTGTATTGGTTATTCGGGTTTTCTCCCGTGTAAAATTGGAAGTATCTAGGCAACGTTTCGATGAAGTCTCATTCATCATCTTCAGGCTTGTGTCTTCGGCTCTGTGCTTCTCAGAGTAAGCACAGGCTTGTGCCGAAGACACAAGCCTGAAGATGATGAATGAGACTTCATCAAAACGTTGCCTAGATACTTCCAATTTTACGCTGGAGAAAACCTGAATAGCCAAAGATCCACATACAAATACCCGCGAGAACCTCAGAAAACATACATACATACATACATACATACATACATACATACATACACACACACACACACACACACACACACACACACACACACACACACACGGTGGTATTCAGCAGGTTCTGACCAGTTCTGGAGAACCGGTAGCGGAAATTTTGAATAGTTCGGAGAACCAGCAAATACCACCTCTGACTGGCCCTGCCCCATCTATTCTCTGCCTCCCGAGTCCCAGCTGATCGGCTGGGTCTTCTTTTGTTGCCCTGCACAGGAGAACAGAGCTGGAAAGCAGGTTAGTGGGGTGGGGAGGGAATGGGATTTTGCAGTATCCTTCCCCTGGAGTGGGGAGGGAATGGAGAGTTTATAGTATCCTTCCCTGCCATGCCCACCAAGCCACGCCACGCCCACAGAACCGGTAGTAAAAAAAATTGGATCCTACCACTGACACACACACATACATACAGTGTGTGTATATGTGTGTGTATACATACATACATACATACATACATACATACATACATACATACAGTATACATACAGTATACACACAGACAGAGAGATTTACACTAGGCTTTCTTCTGTAAATTATGAATATTTACTTATTTAATTTATGTTGAAATCTATGACACCAATTCTACATGTAAATATGGCATTTTTTCCACATTTGGCTTTGATAAGTCTGGAGAAGATTTTTTTATTTTTCTTGAAATATGTATTAATGTAAATATAATTCTCGAGTGGATTATAAAAATAGTATAAACATTAGTAGCATTATTTTAAAACAATGAAATGAATTCATTAAACAGCAAGGAAAGAAAAGTATGTAACTCATCCTAACCCTTTAATATTCTTTCTATGTATTTTATTGAGCAATAGGTAGTTTTACTGATTAAAAACTAGAAGAATATTTGGTTTAATTACATGGCCGGATCCAAAATATTGAAACTGATTCTACTTTTAGAATGCATTTACTTCCTGTTTGTGTAGTGTGTTCCAGAGTTTCACTAAATGTCTTAACATATTTAATTGTGCTACCAAATTTGCCATATCTCTGCCATTCCACTAACAGCACAAAGAATTAAGCTCAGGAAACTGGTAAATATTTTGAAAATTACCTGGTTGTGGACCAGCTACAGTTTTAAGGCTAAACATACATGAATTGTAAAATGATCCCCTTCCAGCAAAACATCCAAATAAAACTATCATATTCTAATATGAGTCTTTCCCAAATTGGTATTCTCTAGATGTATCAAACTACATTAATTTTACACTGAAAATAGTCCAGACATCTGGAAAACATTAGCCTGGAAAAAGCTGGTATAAGATACATCAGTCTCTCAGCAATCCAGAGATCTATTTAAAATCCTTACTGATTTATCCAACATATGTTCTTCCGTATCAGCTCTAGGCTCTATAACTGCCCATTTAGTTAGCAGAGTTAACATTGCACTATACTTGTGAGACCAGAAAAATGATCAGTTTGCTGGAGAAAGAACCTTAAGTGATTAAATATTTGCTATAACCAAGCATACCTCTGCCTTTCCTCCTAAAAGTCAAGCTTTTTAATATACAGAGCTATTCTGTCCTGGAATAATCCCAAGGAATATATTATCTTTATAAGTGAACATTTATATTGATAAGATAATATGAGAAATGCTGATGTGCTATCAAGAGTCATCTTACTATTTGTAATTACCATAATACAACTTTATAATGCCTTGGTAAGGGCACACTTGGAATACTGCATCCAGTTTTGGTCACCACAATGTAAAAAAGATGTTGAGATTTAAGAAAGAGTGCAGAGAAGAAGAACAAAGATGATTAGGGACAGGGGTGGTGTTCAAAATTTTTAACAACCGGTTCTGTGGGCATGGCTTAGTTGGTGGGCGTGGCTTGGTGGTCATGTTATGTGGCCAACTTAATATCACTCACATCGAGGCACGCATCTCCTCTCCTGGCCTCTCATGACTGTGGGGATGCTGCAACAGTCATAAGTGTGAAAAATTGTCATAAGTCACTTTTTCAGTGCCATTGTAACTTTGAATGGTCACTCCACACAAGCAAAGTACCAGCAAAGGAGGGGGGAAAAAACCCTGAGAAGTTCCTGAGACAAGAAGTCTAGTCCTGCCAAGAATGTAAAAAGGGTTAACGGAGAGGCAGCTTCTGTAAGCAACACCAGAATGTTTCTTTCCTGCCTTCCTTACTGGATTAGGCCAGTAATTTCTTCTTACAACCGGTTCTCTGAACTGCTTAGAATGTTAACAACTGGCTCTAACAAATAGGTGCGAACTGGTAGAATCTCACCCCTGATTATGGAGCTGGAAGCTAAAGCATATAAAGAATGGTTGCTGGAACTAGGTATGTCTAGTTTGATGAAAAGAAGGGCTAGGGGTGACATGATAGTAGTGTTCTGATATCTCAGGGGCTGCCACAAAAAAGAGGGAGTTAAGCTATTCTCCAAAGCACTTGAGGGTAGGACAAGAAGCAATGGGTGGAAACTGATCAAGGAGAGAAGCAACCTAGAACTAAGAATAAATTTCCTGACAGTTAGCACAATTAAGCAGTGGAACAACTTGTCTCCAGAAGTTGTGAATGCTCCAACACTGGAAGTTTTTAAGACAAGACTGGACAACCATTTGTCTGAAATGGTTTGGGTTTCCTGCCTGAGCCAGGGGTTGGACTAGAAGACCTTCAATGGTCCCTTCCAACTCTGTTATTCTGTACTATTCTATTCTATTCAGGGGTGAGATGCGACAGTTTAACTACCAGTTCAGTGATTTACAGTTTGCTTCCCTGCATGCTGTGCACACATGTAAATCTTCGTCAGCTTGCTTCCTGGACAGCTGAGCGGTGCTGCGTGCGGGGAAGCAGCATTTGAGAAAGCACTTTTTTCCTGCTTTTTCAACTGCAACTGTGCCTCGCAAGGCAGCTGAGGTTGAAAAACCAGGAAATAAAGGTCAGGTAAGAGCCCGGGCAGGCCAAAACAGCAGCAGACATAGAACTGGTTCTATGTTTGCTGCTCTTCAGAGCTACCAATTCTACAGAGCCGGACAGAACCGGTAGAATCCCACCCCTGATTCAATTTTCTATTCTATTCTATTCTATTCTATTCTATTCTATTCTATTCTATTCTATTCTATTCTATAACCTGTGCTGTCTTACTAAACATTATACACTGGGAATATCCATTGCAAAGAAATTTCCTTATTCAAAGTCCTATTGGCATTACCACTAAGACCTTCCTTTCTTCTGTAAAGCTCTCAGGAGAGCTATTCTTATCTAGAATGCATTTAGAAAATGGTCCTTTCGTGACTTTCAATATCAGAGGTTAGATAGTAGTGTTGCATTGCTGCAGGAAAATGTTGATGTTAGATTTGTCCCTCCAAAGACAAAAGAAATTTGACTAAGGAACATCTTCAGAGTTCAGGATTTATACTATAGCTTTCTTAACAATGATCTCATCTTACTCTTTCATTTCAGTCCACCAAAAAAAGTGTCATGTATAATTAATGTTCTGTTTTTCATTACATTTTACAGGCAGGAATGGTATTGAGATGTGGACACTTCTGGATCGGTTTATTGCTCGTGCCCACAGCCTGCCTTATTAAAGATGTGGCATGGAGAGCGTAAGTTATTATTCACATTCTTTTGAAAAATGTTATTTGCTTAAACTTACAATATTTCAGGTTAGTCCTACAGCTGCTAACCCTTAACCCCAGCCCTAAATCACTTAGATGGGTACAAAGTGTTAATCAGCGCTAATGGTTCTTTTTAGAGTCTCTGCAAATATGCAACTATTTATTTTCCTAGACAACCTTACATTTCCTCATCTATGAAGGTACATATAACACTGTTTTTTAAATGAATATAGAAGTCAAATTTCACATAGGATGGTATTGAATAATAATGAATATTTAATGCAAAATATTATGATTTTCCAAATGAAAATTCTTGTTTGTTTCTAGCTGTTCCCTCCCCTTTTGCTATTGTCTCATCTTAAATAAATAGGATGTCTTTACGGTCCATGACTAAATGCAAGCACTATAATCTAAAATGCTCTTATCTTTGTATCTCATTGTGATATGAAGAATGAATGAGCTTCTTGATGGATTGGGTTCCTTACCAACTTTTACAAACAAGACCATATTTTAAGTTTATTGAGTGAGTATGAAGCTAATTTTAGAGCCCTCTATATGAAAAAATGGGCCTCTGAAAAGGGAACAAAATGTTATTAGGAAGAAGACAACTTCTTGTGATCTTCTTCAGTATCCCAAGTCTTGAAGACTTGTCTATTTTCAATAGTTATTATGGACTAAAAATATTTCTACAATATGTTCTGATGGAAACAAATGGATTCATATTATGTAACCTTCAACAGGAGAAAGTCCAACTAATATCGTTCTTCTATACTAGGAAAACAAAATATGCATTAGAAGATTGGTGTTCTTAACTATCTAAAAAGCAGAAGGTGGCTAAGAAATTTGTTCCATCTTCTTTTAACTTTTAAATGACTTAGTACCTATAGTAGCGTTTGCAAATTGGGAGTCTTTTTTTTTACACTTATTGAATGGCCATGCAATCATGTACATTTTTCTGTCCATTGCAGAAAGTGCTGAAGAAAGGAAGAAGCTAAATGTCTATGGAAGTTCTCCATCATGCAGGTCCTGGTTGTCCCAAAGGTGCTTTTTTTCAAGAGGCAACTGGACTTGCTGGTTTTTCTTTGAAGATGTTTTGCTTCTCATTCAAGAATGGAAGGATTGAAGCCACAGACTCTTAAAAAATGCAAATGACCAGCTGTCTGCAAGGGGTGTAAAATAAATCCTTCCATTCCCCACCATCCAGTCAGAGCTCTGGAAGGATTTATTTTACACCCCTTGCAGACAGCTGGTCATTTGCATTTTTTTAGAGTCTGTGGCTTCAATCCTTCCACTCCCCACCATCCAGTCAGAGCTGAAGACACTTCTCAGATGAGATACAAAACATCTTCAAAGAAAAACAAGGAAGTCCAGTTGCTTCTTGAAAAAGCACCTTTGGGACCAAGGAAGAAACTGATTGCAAAAGCTCATTCTGACAGGATTTTTTAAAAATAGTTTAAAAACAAACAAACAAACTAGAAGAGATCTATTTGCAGTTTAATTTTTAAAGGTGCAGATCTCTCTGTCATCTCAATTATATCAAGTATATCTGCACCAGGGTGTGTGTGTGTGTGTTTCTAAAAAAAATGTTAGAAAAATATCTGGACAAAATATCTGTCCTCAGAAGAAATACCACCTTTTCCCTCTCATCTTTGTTAAGATGATATTAAGCTTTTGAAAATATAAAGGAAAAAAATAATCATATTTCACTGGCAAAGTTTCACTGTCATATTTCACTGACCATGTAAAAAAAATATGTATTGTATGGGGGAGACTGTATTGCATTGCTTTTCTACTGTAAAATCTTTCGATGACCTATGCTAGGGGTGTCAAACTGGCGGCCCGCGGGCCAGATGCGTCACACACAGGCCACACCCTCCCCAGCTCCACAAGGGGGAAAATGTCATGATACATCACATGATGGCAATGTGATATGGCGAGTTTGACACCCGTGACCTACTCCATCAGTTACATCCATGATAGTATCAAAACCTGAAGTAGGTTTTGCAGCCACTGCAAAAATACTATTATTTTTTGCTGTTGCCCTCAAAGTAAAAGGAAATCATTCAATAAAATGAGAGAAAATGAAGTAGAATATCAAGATCTCTCTCTCTTTCTCACTCCATCACCCTCTTTCTTGTACCACTATATCTGGGCTCCAAAATACTGAGAACAAGTAAATGAAAACAAGGAGGTACAGAGACTGTCTTGCTATCTTCCAGCGGATTTATAGATTTTTCACTGTAGATATGCTATCTGGGTATATGGTATGTGTCTGGGTATGCGTATGCGTATGTCTGTGGATGTGTGTGGGTATGATATGTGCCCATTATATGCTGAATTTAGTCAATTTGAACACATATTTTACTGATGTATCTGGTGGCACACTGTCATTCTAACTGGAGCAATTACTAAATTTGATTCTCAAAAGTATGCATTTGAGATTTCTAAAAATGTTCAATTGCCTGGATAATATGATATTCATTCAGCTTCCAAATTCCAGACTATCATATGTAACAGCAAACTATATGTTATCTAAAGAGCCAAGAAGCAGAGTACATAGCTAATATCATACTGTGGTCTTATTTCAAATTGAATAATATGGCTGCTGAAACCAGGGCTTTTCAACAGTAAATCAATTGGAGAGAGGGGAGAAAAGAGAAATAGATGATCCTCTATTTTTTCTTCTTATATCAGTCCTATACACATCATCAACAAGATATCAATGTATTTCAGTCCAAATTCAAGATTGGAATCCCTAATCATTCTTTTGGATGACAAGCAGAGGAACTGGAGTAGGGAGTGCAGACTTCCTATCCTACTTAATCTATAAATTCAATCATTGTGTCTCTTTTGATCATGTCTGGATGAAGGCACTGTTTTGCGGTGGTTGTCCTCCTTCCTCTAGATACAGTCAGTGAGTTGGATTTTTGAACTCTGCATTATGGCTCTATTTTCTCACTTCTACTTAGCAGTTAGATAAAGCCCATGGAAGGGATTATCTGCCAGCATCGCATATAGTATCAATTGTATGTGAATAGTATTTTGGTGTATATTTTGGTCCTAAGCCAAATGGATGCTGTTGGGGTACCATCCCAGAGACTGAATGGATTTCTCTGGAGAGGAACAGACTCAATCTTGGCAAGATGACTGGTTGTGATTTGAAAGCTGAGGCCAGTGATATTTCTTCTTTATTCTAGATGGTGTTGTGTTCTTTCAAATTAAACTATTTCACAACTTGTAGTTCATCCTGGGCTCATAGCTCTTAGTCAAGGAGCAGATGAGTTGTGGTTAGAAAGTTTTTGCACAAGTCCTATACAGTATTTCAGTGGTATCAAATTTTGGGACCAAGAAGTGCTACTCATGCCTTAGGCCATGCCTCATTTGGCCTATGGAATTCTATGTGGGTCCACCCTTGAAGATCATCCAGAAAGTACAGTTGACCCACAACATAATGGCTCATGTAATTTAAGAGTAGTTCTCTGTTTCCCTGGAGAAAAATCAAAACTATAAGAGCTGCACTAGTTGCCAGTTGACTTACGGATGTAATTTAAGATGCTGGGTGTCATTTTTAAAGCAATACATAGATCAAGATTTCCATCTCCCAGCAGTCTCTATCTGTCAAAATCCATGGTAGCAGAGATGGCATCCTTCAAGTTCCATCTTTGAACTTTGAGCGTTATCTTCATGAGCTATGACGATGCATTCATCCAATAGGACATTTAAAATGAATGAAAAACTCAACTTTCTTTAAGTATGCTTCTAAGAATTATTAGATTTTAGAAATTACTTTTTGTGTGTTAGAGTAGACCACATAAAGGCTGAAACAGATTAGTATTTTATTTGTATGGATATTTCTTATATTTCTGTACACTTATGGCTCCAACGCTCAAGGCTAACTCAACCACATATGATATTCCTCTTTTTTGGCTGAAATTCAGTTGTGCTTAGCATCATCTGAAAGATCCAGGACAATGCACAGCCCATTGGCAGCCTAGCCATTCCTGCTGTCTGACCTTGAACAGGAAACCTGACTCTCAGGTAGTCAATGAAAGTTGATGTGTTAGTTTCTTTGTTTTGTGTCTTTCTCCTACAATGCAGGGCCAAGCATACTTACCGTAAAACTTTGCTGGAGCAGGTTCAAGAGTTGGAAGCTAAATCCAAAGAGCTGAGGAAATCTATGCTGCGTGATAGCAATGGAAAGAGGTGGGATCAATTCCATCTTAACTGGAAGCATGCCAGATCCATTTTTTTCCTCCTTCTGCCTCTTCATTATTTTTGCCATGCATTGCAATGTAATGGTTACCTTCAGAAGAGCAATGTTATTCATTTACATTTCCCCACCCCGCAAAAGCTTCCATCTTTCACTGCTGCATCCCTTATCTGTTGATAAATGAGGCCAAATGCAAGGCTCTGTATGTAGTTTTTTGCATGACAGCTTGCAATATTTTTGTTAGATGTGCTGCCAATCTGAAGTTTTATTTCAACTTGCTTCTTTTTTAAAATGCTGGTTTGGCTCGTTATGTTGTGGTTCTGATCAAAAATATATATGAAGACCATATTAAAATTGGGGACAAAGAAGAGCAGATCTATCTACCACCCCACTTTAAATGAATCAGATTTATTGAAGAAAGCTAGAGACATTGTTACTGGATAACTGAGAACTTTGCATGAGTATTTGATCTCTAATTTATGGATAGGAAAGTATCAACACTCATTCAAAATCTCCAGGATCTGAAAAGCTATTTTAATCTTATTCAGAGATTTGACAGCACAAATTGCTTTTCAGACTTAGCTTGGTAGAAAACAGTTTAGAGACAAGAGTGGCTGTTACTGAAACAAAAGTCAAAAGTTTAATTGACTTTAGTTGACAGTCATCTAAGTTTTGAATTCAAAATAACCTCTGAATATATTAAAATAAATGTATTTATTTTGTCCCATCGACAGTTTGAAATATTACCCAAGAGAACATAGGCTTGTCCAACATATTATTTAAACATGCCAGAGTCCTTTTGAGTAGTACAAGAATTATTTCCATATTTAAGACCATGATAGGGCCAGCTTACGCTATCTTTCAGCATGTACAAATTTCACTTTTAAACTATTAACAGAGTTCTCCTTTGGATGATAACTTAAGTGCTTCTGAATTGTCACTTGATCCTCTGGAAACTAGAGCTAATGCATCTGCTATGTGGGGATTTTTTTTTATCTGATGTGAAAGACATTGAAGAGAGTTTTGTCCAGCCCACCCCCTTCCTGCACCCTTTCTTTGAGCTTCAGAGGGTTTCAGTTAGCCCTTTTTATAAGGCAATTGCGCTTCAGCAAATGGGAAAGTGTCACAAGTTCAGAAAGGTTTTGTAACTCATACTTGTGTTCTTCAAACAATATGGCTCTGTGTGATGTGCAGAGGAACTTTTGCAATAATTAAGCATGATTTTAACAAACTCTCTCAAATACCAATGCAAGTAGAAGGAGGTTTCAGAGACAAATTTCAGCCTTGCAAGGTTCAGTCTTGGGCAAGGCTCACATATTTCTGGTAAATTAATTGCCACATTGTGACTATTGTTGAAGCAGGTGGACAAATAAATCTATAATTCCATTTGTTTCAATAGTGCTGTCAAATCACAGGAGTTTTGCTAAAATAAATAAAAGATTCCAAGATCTAGGTTGTTGATTTTTTTACTCAATTGTGTAATGTCACTGAATTGCTTAGATTTATGTCATTGTTAGAAGAGAGCCACTGTCCTAAAATAGCCAAAATGAGTCTGCTGTCACCTTTTCAAACTAACAGGTTTTATTAAAAGCCGCAAGCTTTGGTGAAGTAGAGCTGATGTCATAAGATGTGTGGGGTGGATTTATGTATTTGCCTAGATCTGCCTTCCCCAACCTGATGATCTCTAGTTATAAGTTAGAATCGAGTTCCTATTTTTACACATAGTCTATTTAACACATCAGAGACATCCCCTTCTCCACCAGTTGAAGAAAGCTGCCTAGGCAATCATTTCTAAATTAAAAGAATAGACTTCTTTCTCTTTTTTGCTTCTTTGTGTTTCTGGACTCTTTGTACACTTTTTAATCTCTGCATTTAACCCATAAATATTAGGACATTGTCTGGTTGATTTTTGCAATCACATTGATTATAGGTAGTTGCAGTTATGGTTTATAAGAATTTATTTTGTTCTTATTCTGTACTAAACATAGCCCATTATACTTCAAAAACAGAAGTCAGGATCTAAGGCAGCAGCTTTGTGTATTTGGTTCCAGTCTCTAATCCTTCTTCTGATGTGATGCAGATGACCCCTATTTTTTAAAAAAAAGCTGAAATCCTTCTGATTATCAGCTGTTAAAGAAAGGGAGTGAAGACTAATTTGAGTTCTCTTTGCTCCCTCTACTCCAAGTGTTTTCAGCTACTTAAAAACAGACCTGCATTTTTGGTTCCAGCTGTTCCATATGCTCTTTGAGGGATCATCATCTTAGTTTATCAAACACTCTGATTGTCAACACCTGGATGGTTGTGTGTGCATCTGGAAATGTGTTCAGTGTTGTGTATAAACATACCTGTGGGTGCAATTGGCTTTCCTCTGTCTTGTTGACTTACTGTTTTGGCATTCGGTAAATTGCCCTGCGCCATGTTCTGCTCCACTCCAAAATAATGTGCTTTCTTGGCCACTTGTTTTATTATGTTCCCTTTCCAATCTCTTCCGTCTGTATTCCTTTATTTTTTTAATTGGCTCCCCTCATTCTCAGTAGGCTTGTAAGCAGACAATATAAGGAATCCCTGCCAGCCCTTTGGTCCATTCCTCTCCTCCCTGCTTCCCAAGGATTCCCCCACCTCTCTTCCTCTACTCTTCATTTATTTTTCTCCTCCTTAATTGCACCCAGGTTTCCTGGGTGGTCCATCTGCAAACTAGATAATGGTGGAGTATCTCAGCCTGCCTGAAGTTGATGTGTCATGCTTTTGATGAGGCCCCTTGAGTGCCTTCTGAGAACAGTTTCCTCCCCCCACCTCTCCCTCCCCCCCCCCCCCCCCCCCCCCCCCCCCCCCCCCC